TTTTTCAGATCAACTATAAGGACCAATATCGGTCCGTATATATATATTCAGACCGATTTCCTATATATTCGGACCGATATTTCGGTTCGGAAATCCCATTCCTGCAGTAGTGATTTGATATAGAAAAAGAGCAAATGAAGGTAATACTACCAAACCTCTATTGGACCTTCCATGTCGATGGATCATCAAGTGAAAATGGGAGTGGCGTAGGAATCATACTAACATCACCCAAAGGAGAAACCTTTGAATACGGACTAAAGTTTGCATTTGAAGTATCCAACAATAGAGTTGAGTACAAAGCTTTACTAGGAGGACTTCGATTAGCAAAAGCTGTGAATGTAGAATACATAAGGATATTTAGTGATTCCTAGTTAGTGGTAAACCAAGTAAAAGGAGATTTTAACGCCCAAGAAGTGGTTATGACAAAATACCTAGAAAAAGCTACACAACTTTTTAAGTCCTTTAAAGGATACGTGCTACACCATGTAAAAAGAACTGAAAATTCAAAAGTTGATGCATTGGCTAGACTAGCAAGTTCTAGAGTCATAGAATCAGGGAAAGAGATATACGTTGAAAAGTTGAGCTCCCCCTCAATATTTGAAGAAGAAGTCTTGGAGATAAAAGAGGAAGTAACCTGGATGAATCTAATTAAATGATATCTCTATAGTAGAGATTTACCTAAAGACAAGGAAGAAGCACGAAAATTAAAATGAAAAACTACATGGTATATAATCCTTGGTGATCATTTCTATCGAAGATCATACACACAACCATGCCTCAAATGTTTGACACCCAAAGAGGCAAAAACAGTAATGGAAGAAATTCATGAAAGAGAATGTTCCAACCACATAGTAGCAGAATTACTATCATAAAAAATCCTCCGCCAGTGATATTTTTGGCCAACAATGAAGGTAGATACAAAGGAATATGTTAAAAGGTGTGACAAGTGCCAAAGGTTCACTCGAATCCAACACCAACCTTCAAATCCTCTGCATATGGTGGCAGCTCCATGGCCTTTTGCTAAATGGGGAAAGGACATCCTCGGACCTTTCTCAGAAGCAAAAGGTAAGAAGAAATACCTCATAGTTGTAATAGACTACTTCACGAAATGGATAGAAGCAGAAGCTATGGCCAAAATAATAGAACAAAAAATAGAGGAATTTGTTAAAATATGTATCATATGTAGGTTTGGAACACCAAAAGTCCTGGTCACAGACAATGGAGCCTAGTTCACAAGTGAAACTTTAAAAGAATTTTGTCAAGCACAGAATTTGGAGAGATGGTTCACAATCAAAGCTTAGCTAAAAGATGAAGGAAAATCACCAGAACAAATAAGCAGAGATTTGCTTCAGTAGCTTATCCAGAATCAAATGGGTAAGCGGAAGCTGCGAATAGAATCATATTAGATAGCCTAAAAAAAAAAGGTAGGAAAGGCAAAAGGCACATGGACAAAGGAACTACCATACACATATGGGCCTACAGAATCATGTATCGCACACCCACAGGTGAAACTCCATTCAATTTAACATATGGAATAGAAGCTGTGATTTCAATAGAAACTAGAATTTCAATGCATAAAGCAAGCCACTATGACGAGCATAGAAATAATGAGACTTTAAGAGCCAACTTGGATTTATTAGAAGAGGTTAGGGACTTATCACAAGTACAGATGGCAAGCTATCATAGAAAAGCAAAGAAATATTACAATCGCAATGTAAAACCTAAAAACCTGTGTAAAGGTGATTGCGTACTGAGGAAAATAGAGGTTTTAGAAAGAAACTCCCAGGAAGGAAAGCTGTGCTCGAACTAGGAAGGGCCATATCTCATCAAGGAAGATTTGGGGAATGGAGCCTTCAAGCTGATGCATCCCAATGGAGCTATAATCTTGTGGACCTAGAATGCTATGAACCTTAAGAAATACTACCAATAAACAAAGGAAAACAGTCCTTTAAAATGTTCTCCATGAACATTATGGCTTTTATCTTAATAAAATGCCAAATTTAGCAAACATACAAAACCAAATAATATCCAAATAAGACCAAAACATGCTTAAGCAAACTAAAAGTTGTGGGTAAGTTCAAGTATGCATAAATACGCGGGAAAGAGCTACGCAAGTGAGGCTATGAAGGTTAATGCAAATCTTAAAATATAAGAGATTTTTGGCAACATAAACTAGTAGCAACTGACTGGAGTGCAAAGTTACGCCCCGAACCCCCTTTATACAAAAAAGAGACATGTAAAATGCTAAGCAGTTGTTAACACACGGATCCTCATTAACGAATGAGGATACCTTCACCATAAGAAACTATAAAAAGATCATAATATGGATAAAGAAGCGGCACACAACTTCCTAGAAAACATAAATTCTAATATAGTTTCAATGAAAGATCACAATGCCAGGCATGGCCAAAACTGGAGTTAAACAAAACAATTACTCTAACAAAGTGTGGCCTTAGAATATAAAGCTAAAGAGAGCAAAATAAATCCATAATAAATAGAAGAAAAATAACATTTTTTTTTTGTGATTCCCAGGGATAAAAATAGGCTCGCTAAGTTGGTGAAGAAGGGGAGGCACCTTGTGAAACCTCTGCATCAACAAAGCTACCCTTAGTATAGACAACTATGGTAGAATCCCTCACGTCCCAAGAGCTACTAGTCCTTTTAGATGCCTCCCCAGGAGAATCATTTAGAGAAACATCACCAGAACCTTGATCATATGCTTTCCTCAATTCCAAATCAGCATGAATCAGCACAACAGCATCCATATCCTCAAACTCAAAAAGACGGTTGGACACAATCAGCTCGAGATGAGGGAGCAACATCTTGATGAACTTAATAGCAAGATTGAAGTAACCCAAACTACCATAAAGAACGAATGCTCTACCCTTAGAAGACTCCTTAAAAGACTAAACAACAGAGGAAGACGAAGCTTGTAAAGAGGAAACCTATGCTGTCAAATTTGAAATGGACCTCTCAAAAGTAGAATTCATTGAGGTAAGCTCATCGAGTCGCCGTTGCAGAGCCAAATTAAAGGATTCCAAAGACGCTTTCTAAGCAGAGGCAGAAGATGAGAAAAGTTCTCTTTCTTTCTTTAACAAATCATAACATTCCTGGAGCATAGTTGGCTCTTTCTTCAACCTCTCAACTTCGATAGAACTAGCCCCCAAAGTTGCTTTCCTTTCAGCACTCAATTTCTCGAAATTTAGCTAGCGACACAAGTTTAGCAAATCCTTGCTTCTTTCCTACATCTTAGACAAATCAACAACAACATGGTAAGACAAATCTTCCTTGTCCAAGAGAATTTCCTTCATACGCTGTAGTATAGCACAAACCTAAAACAAAGAGAGCTAAGAAAACCATTATAGGAGAAATAGTGGGAAACAGAAACACCAGGCCAACCACAGAAAGGAAAGAAAAAACACATACACTAGAAAAATTATGAACGACCATATCTTGAAGAGTTTCCAAAGGAAAATTTGAATGCAGTTTCTTGTCACTAGTAAACAGCATATATTTAGAAGACTCATGAGCAACAGAACTATGCCCAATGATGGAAGGATCGTCAATACCAATGTCATAACCTACATAGGAAAAGAGATACAATAAGCAATGGAAAAAAAAGCCGAAACAAAGACAATAGAAGAAATACATACCAAGATGGACAGCATCTTTCAAAGGTGACCTCGTCGAAGGTTTAGAAAAGCTCTTCCCAGTAATAAAATCCATAACAGAAGAAATTAAGAGTCCCCCCTCAAAAGAAAACCTGTTGCAACTCATCATCAGGAAAAACAAAAGAAGGAGGAGCCTCCCTATCAGTCTCCATCACACAACCCCCGCACCTTTAGTAAAATCACCCATAGAATCTCTTTTAATGGAAGAGGCATTTTTTAGCCTTTTAGACCTCCTTATAGTGAGAGGTGTCCCTTGAGGAGCAGACCCTTTAAACTTACCTATAGCCTTTTCAACCTTCTCAATTACAACAGTTTTCTCGATCTTCATGGTCTTATCAACCTTCTCAAGTTTCTCGATCTTGACAAAAAGAAGCTAAGGTGTTCACACCACCTAAAACATATAAAAAACAATAATTGGAAAAGAAAAAAACAAGAAAATATAAAGGAAGATCAAGTAGAAGGTAAAGAGATACCAACAAAATTAGGCAAAGAGCTAGGAGTAGTAGTTAGGCTCCCTCCGCCAATTTTTCTTTTCAAGGATCGTTCAGGCTTTAGAGAGGCCTCAAAACCATAAGGAACAAAGGGAATAGGAAAATCAGAATGAAAATCACAAGAACTAGGAACCCAGATGCCTACTTTAGTTAAATTCTCCCAAACAATTAACTCTGCAATGCTCACAGAAGGTTTGATAACAAATGTATGAACAGCCTTATAATCATCTACCGAAAGCAACACCTCAACAATAGTGGTCCAAGGGACCAGCTAGATAGAAGGAAATTTAGCATCCTTAGGGGCACTCAAAATGAAAAACCTCTTATGCCAATTATTAGAATCATACCCAGGCAAGGGATTTATAAAAACAATATTACCCCGATGACATTTTTTAGCATCCACACCTTGAAACTCTAGTACCCTACGAGAAAAGTAATACCAACTACCGATAGGTTTAGCAGTTTTTAAATGGAAACGGAAGCAAAAAAGCTCACGGGTATGAGTAATCTTTAGAAGAAAACATCTCACAAGAAAAGCAATAATGTAAGCAATAATGTAAGCAACAGCACGAGGAGCCAATTAGGGTAGACTAATGGAGAATTCATCACAGATTTCAGGGACAAAAGGATGCAAAGGAAAACGCAACCCACATGCAAATTGATCCTTGTAGACACACATATCAGGAGGAAGGCATTGGAATGCTGTGCGACACATGGGATGCTGAGGAGGAAAAAACTACGGATCCATCAAATTCTTTCGGTAAATCTCCTTAATCTTGTCCACATCAAAACTACTGGTGACCTAAGACACCTTGTTAAGGTCATAGAAAACCTTTGCTAGGCCTAAAGGGAAGACAACCTTTCCATCCTTTGAAGAAGAAATCAAAGGAACCTTAGTAGAGACAAGAGGAATCATAGGATCCCTCTCCACATGGTGTAAAGCGCCTTTCACAACAAACCTTCCATCTTGACTGCAAGGAAAGCAGAAAATATCAAAGAACTCCAAATCAGAAGGAGAAGGAGGAGTACTTGCACCATTGGTAGAAGAACCAATAGAAGCAAGAATTAGGAGAAAGCCGAAAGCAGAAGGATCAACATCCATCACAAACACAACTGATGCGATCAGGTCATAGAATTGGAGAAGTCTCTCTTCAAAAGAGGAAATTGAAAAGGCAAGAGAAAGAAACACTAAAGGAGGGGAAGAAAGAAAAAAGAAAGAGGAAACCAAAAGAACAAAAGAAGTTAAATGAAGATGAGAAAGAAGATTCAAGAAACCCCAAGAAAGCCCCATTTGAAAAATAAAGAATAATCAAAGGATAAATTGCATAAAATCCCGTAAAAATAGGTATTTGAAAGACCCATGAAATCAGTAGTACCAACTAAACCAAGGGAAGTGGGCCTCGTGTACAAAAGGTTGCACAAGAAATAGAAAATCTAGAAAATGCAATTGCTAAGATAGGAAAGAATCAAGAAGGATTTGAGAAAATCTTCTGAACATTTAATTACAGCTAGATCTATTTAAAAAAGGAAACTGCACTAGGAAGCATAAGGGAAAAAACCTGTGCTACACTCTTTTTTCCTTAAGTTAGATTTTTATCCCATAGGGTTTTTTACTAATTAAGGTTTTTAATGAGGCAGCCATGGTTGAGAAGTTGGAACCTCTAAAAGGAAGAATTAGAATCCTGAAAAAGTGGATAAACTAGAGGTTTAAAACCTCATTTATAAGAATACAAAGCTTCACGCACAAAAGCTTTGTACAAAAATTTGTGTAGAATTCAAAAACAAGATTAGTAGAACAATAAGAGAGAGAGCCACCCGTTGAAATTTTTGCTACCCTCAAACTTCTTCGTTGGGGGGCAAATGTTATAACCCAAATCAAGTCCTATAGGAACCAGGACTCATAGATACATCCTAAAAAGGGTACATCAAGAATAAATAAAATAACTCCTATTAGAACTAGGATACCCAAACACCAAACTAAGTAGAATTATAGTCCTAGGGTAAATCTATGTAAAATCCTATAAATACCCTAGTACAAAACTCAAGGAGGCAAATTATTTTTCCATCTTCATTTTCTCTCCATTGTAAATTCTCTCTATCAATAAAGTTCTTGGTTCTCCATCACCTTTTGTATTTTCTACTGCTAATAAGAAGAAACATGCAACTTGAATAAAGCATTGTACATCATAAATGCAATTTATCATATGGATTATAAAAAAGGTTAAACCCCCAACTTGGTCCTTCAATTATTGCATGGACCCCTAACTTGGTTCTTCAACTTAAAAAATCCTTGATTTAGTCCCTAAAGTTTGAGATTTTGGTGCTTTTTTGGTCCCTCCATTAAAATTTTGCTTACTTAGCTCACTAATTAACTAAAAATACATGATATGTCCAAAATTTTTTACATGTAGGATTAATAGCGTGGGCAAACAAATGACATGGCATAAAAAGCATTGGCCATGTAAGACAAAATGACTTAAATAACTAAGTTAATTTTAATTTTGGATTAATTCACAAATCTACCCTCATTGGCTTTTGCTTCTCTCCTTCTTCCCCATTCTCTCCCTTTTCTTCTGCATTCTTCCACTCCAATCCAATTCCTAGGTTCTTTGTCAAAGAACAAAATTAGCTACAAAACTAGTTCTACCATCTTTCTCTTCTTCCATCTCCAACCCTATGACTTCTCTCCCTTTTCAAAAATGCTTAAGGTCATTATGTAAACCAGCCTCAACTTTTGCACAACGGAACCCATTTTTAGGGATTTTAGAGGTGATGTAAGAAGGGATGACTAGCCTTGACTAAAGAAAATTTTTAGATTTCTAGATTTGGATTGACCTTTCCTTTTCCTCTTTCCCTTCTTTTTTGCCCAAAAACTATATTTAGAAGCCAACAAATACCATCTCTTCAGCCACATGTACAACCTTCTTCAATGGACATGGAGTAGTGATCAATGTTTGAAAAGATCTTTGGTTGCAGATCTACGATGCACAACATAGGCCAATAACAAAGGATTTGTAGTCCAATTTTGATGGGTCTAAGTTTTCTTTGTTTTGTTCTTTAATCTTTGTTGGATTTAGGATTTGGGTCTAGGTTTTCTTGGTTTTCTTATTTAATCTTTGTTTAATCTTATTTATGATTAGAGAATCATCATATCTTTGAGTATGCATTCCATTTTTCTAATTCTTTGACTAGTTCCCAATTAAAAGAGAGAAATTGGAAGGTAAAATGTTCCTTTGATTGGTCTAGACGTTGAGGAAGAAGAGAGAGAGAAAGAAAATGAAAGGATCTAAAGGTTGAAGACAAGGGTAATATGGTCATTTTTTTATGTTTAGGGATTATTTTTTTTTTTTTTTTTTTTTTTTTTGTATTTTGCCATGTTGTAAATTCCACATATTTTATTTATATTGAAAAGATATGCTTCTGCCGTTAACTAACATGCCACATCAACAAAATTTTAGTGGGACCCAAAAAACACCAAAATCCACTGTTTGGAAAATTGGATCGGGTTAGTTGATTGAATCAATCAGACCAACACCCAATAATAAAAATGGGTTGAGTTAGTGCTTAAAACCGTTTAGGATGTTAAATTGCTTAAAACCATTCAAACCATCCAAACCAATAAGAACCGATAAACCATCCAACTGACCAGGCCAATTATTTGGACAAAATTTGCAAGGTTTGTTGCTACCACTGGGTTTCAAACATGAGACCGCATGAGGTTTTGACAACTCCTTTACCACCAGAGCAATGGTGCCCTTTGTGAAATGACTTACAAAGACTATATTTTAAAGAATACTACAAAAACCAAAGGAAAAACTCGAACTTACTTCCATGAGATTCAAACGCTTGCTCTCTTGTATGTTTAGAGTAACTTTTGCCACCTGATCTGAATCAAGTTCACTGATTTTTATTGCCTTGAGATATATTTATTATAAGGAAAATGATGTGTGCACACCCGGATCCCACACCCGGGTGTGC